ACAAGGATACACGAGTTGGGTAGGCTTATGACATTGAGTAGATATTTCAATATACATTTTAGTTAATTTGATAGAATAATTGGTCTTGGTGGTCTTGGTCATATAGCAGTAAAATTGGCTGCCGCTATGGGAGCTCATGTTACTGTTCTTGCTTTATCAGAATCGCAGCGAGATGATGCCATTCGACTTGGAGCCAAAGAATTTATTGTGTCCAATGATCAAGAAAAATTAAAGGAAGTCGAAGGTACACTTAATTTTATTATGGATACAGTACCGGCACCTCATAATGTTTCTGTTCTGCTCGGTTTGCTTGCATTTCAAGGTGTATTTTGCATGTATATATATTTTCTTTCTTCTTTTCATCTTTGAAATTCAATATTTAATGTAGGATTGGTATATCATCGAAACCATTTGAAATAGCTCCACTCGACTTTATTCTTAAACGTCTAACAATTTATGGAGCTCTTATTGGTGGAATGAAAGAAACTCAAGAAATGTTAGAATTTTGTGGTCAACATCAAATAACATGTGACATTGAAATGATTGAAGCAACACCCAGCATGATTAAATTGGCTTATGAACGAATGCTAAAAGGTGACGTCACGTATCGTTTTGTTCTTGACATGAAAAATGCATTCAAATAACAAATACTCTCAACTAAATAACAAAAAATACGTCCTATCTCTGTTTACTTAGATTGTCTATTGATTAGAAAATGAAATAGTCTTCTAATATATCTATAGCTATACATAGTTAATTAGAGAATCTTTATTTTTTGTATAATAGACTTATGTAATATTGAGTATTACCTATATCATCATGTCTTTCAGTTAAACATCAAGAATTATATTGAATAAGTTATAGTTTGAAATAAGATGAAGCATTGATAGGTTCCATAAATATTTGACTGTATACTGCTGAACTTCAATCAAGATATTAGATATATTTATAAACAATTGTAACATATGTTGTATAAAATATTCATCTATGATATGATAGTAAATAAATCTTAACGATGAATATCTGTTCATGCATTCTCATGGTACTAAGAATGCTCTATATTTATTTACTGCATGACCATTATTCAATTGACGCGACCATATAAAAATTTATACAAATGTGATAGATTTATATGATCAGATGAATCAAACGAATCTAATAAAAATTAATTATATTCTATTTACAATGGCCCAGCTCGATCACATAACATATTTCTACAATAGTCCGAACAGTTCTAAGAAAATTGCGACCAAATCAAATCTGAACCATGGTTTAGCTGATCTGTACCGAAAATATCGAAAAAATAGCGATAGATTTTGTTTATTGATTGATGATGATTCTCACTCCTCAGGATTAAAAAACAAAAAGGAAAAATTGAGATATCAAATGGTATCTACATAGCGAATCAGGACAATCAGTTCGTTATATATCGAAGAAAATTGTTGAAAAGAATTTCATTCTTATTGAACTATAATTCAAAGATAGGTTGCAATCAAGTCGAGGGATTCTACTTCACATTTACCTTTGCGCTTAATTAGAAATTGAGTTGAAGTGTTGCATTATAATGAAATAAATCCATCGTTGAATTATTCTACCTTTCTTATGAGATATTTTTTGGAACTAGAAAGTAATAACTGTTGATAATCAGAAAAAATACACTATTTTTCGGTTTCTACTTGTTCGTTTTGTGCACGAATGAGAGTAGTCTCTCCAGTGTATCTTTCATAAGTTTAGAATGTTGCTATCAACAACAAAAATAAGAGAAAATATACACATTATTCAACTTCTACTCACTTCATAAAAACAGCATACACAATATAAGTTTAGTGAATTTTATTGTTTTCAGTAGATTGATAAACTATCTTAAAAAACATCGATTTCTTTCATTTGGCAAATGAGTTTCATTGTTACATTAAAAAAAAAAAACTTTGTAGAACTCTTGTTTTGAAAAAACACTGAGGATAGATATCATAGGAATTGAATTTTTAGAATGAAATTCTTGGATTAACAATGAGATACACTAATGTATACGAATAGACGATGCGATAAGAGCAAAAAAAACCGGTACAATAATTTATATTTTCAAAGACAATGGAAAATAATTGTTCTGTAACATAATATAGAATACTTGTTAATTTTTCAAGTTTTTTTTTCTACTTTATTGTTCATCGGCTTAGAGAATTTCATCGTTCTCATATTGTGTTTTATTCAATTAGAATTTAGATTCTTTCAACTGTTTAATATAACATTAACAATATCGATAGATCCTTTAGATAAATCCAATTGAATTGATATGTCTAGTAAGTTTACTTGGTTTAGAAAACTCGCACGAGTACCATAATACTACTTAGTTATATATATATACTATTTAATCATTCAATACTTTTTGAATATTCGATGGATTTTGAAAGAGTTAGAGATTAAATACTTATGAATATTGAATTAGTTGCTGGTTGAAATCATTATCGACGTAGACCGAGAGACATTGAATATGTACTTGGTCACATACTTTATAAGTTCTTTCAAGTGTTTTTGTTCTGAGACAACTTTTAGCTTTGTATTATCAGTTGATTGATGATGAAAACAAGATTTCTCTTGTGTTACTTATAAAAAATTTATAAAACGATTTGTCGCGAAAAATATAAAATATACGCTGAGGATGACTCTCTCCTCTGATCTTGAACATTTTCGTTTTTTTTGGGAAAAGTTTTAGTACTCTCTTGGTTTATTTACTCATCAATTCTTGAAAACGACTCTCATCTGAATTCACTCAAATTCTACAAAGATCATCTGATTAAAATCATTGAGTCGTCGCCGCGTCCCTTCGTAACATTTTGCATATTTTATAATGTTTCTGTAAAATCGAGCTTACATTTAGAATAGTCTCACGCGAATATAACGATTCGCTTCCATTGAATCGAACAGAATTAATTTGGAACTGAAACGGTTAAAGAAATATTCTGAACTCAATATTTATCCTGGAAAAAATACGTACAAATATGTTTTATGCATTTCAATAATTTTTTTTTTAATGTTTTTGTTTTCAAGAATTTGATCAACTATTTTATAAAACAGAATAGCTTTTATGTTGTATTATTCTATTCTCTTGTTTTTTTGTATCCTATATTTATTTCTTCGTTCAAACAAATTTAATCACAGAGGATCTTCAGTCATTTGAATACTTCTTTTTTATTATAGAATATAAACTAGTCGTTAGTTTATGTGAACAATTTTTATGTACTTTTTTAAATTTCATCAGATCAAGAACATTTTGTATTGTAATAAAAAGAAATATTCCCTCGACTGTAGGGAGGGTCATATGAAAAAAAATAGTTTGTGTGTCTGCATCGGGGTCAAAAAGATATCAGGGTCAAAAAAACTTCCACATTAGAAAATTTTTTTCGATAAAGGTTGACGAAAGTAAATCGAGGTCGGGGAATCCGAATCTGGAGTCAGAATTTAAAAATTTTGAAGTGAGTTTTTTGGGTTAAGGGAAGGGTTTTTTGAGAAAATATTGATATTTTATAAAGGTTGACGATAGGAAATCGAGGTCGGGGAATCCGAATCTGGAGTCAGAATTTAAAAATTTTGAAGTGAGTTTTGTTGGGTCAAGGGAAGGGTTTTTTGAGAAAATGATGATCTCTTCTAAAGGTTGACGAAAGTAAATCGGGGTCGGAAATCAGAATCTGAAGTTACTTTTTCAAAATTTTGAATTGAGTTTGTTGGGTTGAGGAAAGGGTTTTTTGAGAAAGTATTGATATGTTCTAAAGGTTGACGAAAGGAAACCGGGGTCGGGGAATCCGAATCTAAAGTCAATTTTTAAAAATTTTGAATTGATTTTTTTGGGTTCAGGGAAACATTTTTTTGAGAAATTAATAATATTTGCTCACGTGTAGGAAGACTTATATGACATAAAATAAGTTTTTGTCTATTATTGTCAAAGTGAACGATGAAGCGTCATTAAAAAACTTTGAATAAGTTTTCGGTGCTCGGGTTTTTAATATTGGGCTTTTCATCAATTCTATTTTTCAAACTGAATATTCAGTTAATCCGACGTATGCGATAAGTTCTTCCTGAATGAGCTGTTTTATAACTAGGTTTCCACGGATGAGGCTTTTTTTCAAAGAGGCCGATCAGTTTCTTCGACTTGTACCATTCAAGAAATCAAAGTTTGAGTCAGTTATGGTGACGAAGCTGGTAGATCAATTCTTTCGATACTCAAAGGCACAATGTACTTGTCTTAAACAGTCGAGGGTCAAGTGAGTCGAACCGACGAACGTTACTTGTCAATTGTGTAAATTGCTTAGATTTTTTTTTCAAGATATATTATAATATTGTTCACATGAAGTTTTCAACAATGATATTAATCATTTAAGATAATTGTTTCTATTTTTGAAATATTTGAGAAAAAGACATAAATACTTTTTTGAAAATTCTTTACGTTCAGAAGACTTAATAGTACATATTTTATTAATCTTCATTTAACCACAGAAAATAATATAAGTGAGAAAAGTTTTAGTACTATACAAAGAAAACATATTAAAAAATATTGGCACTTTCGATATGCTTGTGGAATACTTCCAAGAGAATCACTTCAACTGTCAACTGTTGTTTGTACTCATATTCCACCTGCATGAAGATCTCGGTAATAATAGGAAATGTCTAAAAGAGTTTCTCCTATAGACGTTCAAAATCAAGTTATAGTTATTTCAATGAATTATTGATCTATTTTAGATAATCATTGAAAAAACAATCAAATGAAGAAAATTCTATTTGAATTTGTTGGTTGAAAAATAACATTCCTTTGCCGAAATACTGATTTTTTGAATAAGAGATTTTTGACGCTGATATGTTAGAAAAATTGAGTTTAATAGAAAATAAAATATCTCTACGAAGAATAACATTATTGGGTTTTTCAGTGTATGTCTTAAATGAGTTTCGACTTCAATTTGATTAATGAGGACAAACTTATTATAACATTTTTCTACTCTTACCGAGACTTCTTTATAAACTCGGCATGAGTTTAATAATTGGTGGATTCTATACAAGTTTTTTGTGATCTTCTCTGTCACTCGCAAAGTTTCGACATTCAAATTTATTGAAGATAAAAAATTCAAAAAATTTAAACAGTTTTGAATATACGTAGCATGTCTCTCTCTTATTTCGAACAAATTTTCATGAATGTCTTAGACGAGACATTACCCAGGGAATAAAAAAATGGCGAAAAATGATGTAATTTACATCATTTTAATGAAAAATTTTCCACAGAGACATAATGTCGAAAGTGAAAAACATGCCATGATTCAGCATGAAAAGGACACTTTAATGCAAGTTTTTGAAACTAATGCAATTTTTTCGAAAATCTCATTGCATGAAAACAATTAAATTTACATAAATATTATGCCAAGAAAATAATTAACACACATCAAAATCTTTTCCTGAAAAGAATTAAAATTTAATGAAAGCCATGCCTTTATAACAATGAAAAAATTCTGCGCCTAAGCCACCAGCACACTAATCTGCAGGTGGCATCTGAGCCTTTCACAAGGCTCAGGCAGATTGCCTTGAGGGGCTGTGCGATGAACTCTTGAGAAGTTCAATTTACTCTAGAGCCATGTAAACTGGCAAAAACTTAGAGTAATAA